ATGCAATAAGCAGGCAGAGGAATTAAAAATGAAAGCGTGTTTTTAATCTAGAATTTCCTTGCCTTTGTCAGCTTTATTCAGACCTAGGTTTTTTTTGTACTCTAAGAATCATTTTGTGAAGCCAAGTTTCCGTTATGCTGCTTTAGTCCTTTCTTTCATTGGCCTAAAAAAAGGATACAAAATACATGTTTCTATATGTAAATACGCATTATGGCTTTTGATGTTCATATGCTTAGTCACACATAGACTGTGGTACCCCAGGGGCAACCATCATAGAAACTGAAGTGCACATTTTTTTTAATCTGTCCAGCTGTGCGGACTCACATCTGGCATTTTCAGGCTTGTTTCCAATCACCACAATACCGTGACGGCTCTTAGAATTCACTCTTCCTTGCCGGGGGAGAGAGGCACCACCCAGACAGTTGTCTGCTAACAGAAAAAAGAGCAATCATGCAGTGACAGGGTATTGCTACTGCTTGTTATAGTTTTGTAATAAACATCAGTCTTGTGTTATCAGTACAGTCACACACAGAGCGAGTAATGGGAGGGTAGGAAAAGAAGAGCACACTCAACTGCATTTTAAAAAAAATGTGCAGTTTGTTTTCTGTCACATGCACATTTTACTTGCTTGCTCTCTATGTATTTAAAACGAGAGAGAGACTCTAAAGGGAAGTAGCAGAAGCCCCTTTCTGCTAGGTCATTTAAAACTGAACTGGACAGAACACTAGAAAATACTGCAGGGAGCAGTCTTGCTTGGGCAGGAGGACATAGATAACTTTTCAGACCTGTAATGCAGACAATTGGAAAAAAGAAATACGCATTTGTTTCAATGGTAAACAAGATACTAGTTCTTTCTGTTGAAGGGACACGAATTGTCCATACTGTAGCTGATAGCAACTTGTGTAGCTAGCATTTCTCCGGTGTGTTTGCTTTCTGCGACCCGGCTGGCACTGCAGAGCATGAGAGCACCGAGGTGCTGAAGTGCCACAGGCAACATCAGCATCTGACAGCAACAGATATCTGTCCTTTTGGTAACTTACAGACATGCGGCCAGCTTTTGGAAGAAAACAGTTCTGTGTAGACAAACTGGCCTTAGATTTCCCAAAACACCGCCATCAAAGACAAATACTTCTGACTTTATTACTGTAATTCATTTGAAATCCCCTCAAGTGACTTTTGGCAAGGGATTTGCAAAAGCAAGATTAAAGAAGGATGAAAAAAAATAATTACAAGGTTTCTTCAGTTGCCACGTTATTCATTTTAAGATATTGATTTATGTAGGTGCTACTTCATCTAACTGCCCTACACACGTCACATGAAATGACTTAGGCTCTGATCCTACAAGCTATTCCATGCAGGTGCCCCCTCCACATAGGTTTTGGGGTTCAACCCAGACCAGTGATGGGTTGTCGCCACCTGTTCTGCAACTCTGGGTGCCTTAAATGCTACGCTGCTGTGGCTCACAGCCTGGACACCACCATCCAGCAGACACGCATGCGGGTCACCTACTGGCTTCCACCGCCCAGTTTCTGTTTGCACCAACATCCCCCAGTCCCAAATTTCCACAAAACTGTCTCCCTGAAGTGTCCAGCCTTTTCCTAATTAAGTGTGCTGCTCCTTTAAAGAGACAGAATTAGCAGCGTGTTATCTTGACTGGAGTGAACAATCACTTCAGTTCAGTCACAGTATGGCTTGGTTTAGATTAAAAAGTAAAACAAATTTATGTGGTCAAAAAGATAGGACAGAAATGGGTTTCAGAGGAGCAGCCGTGTTAGTCTGTATCCGCAAAAAGAACAGGAGTACTTGTGGCACCTTAGACTAAGACTAGGACAGAAATGGTTACACACAAGTAAAATTATACTTCTAAAACTAACACTTAACTCCAGCAAGTTACACTCTTTGTTCAAGGTAGTTTCCTCACCAATCTTTGTTTTCCAGCTGTGGCTGATTACTTTTTAGTCAGGATCCCCATAGAGGCCAAGGTGCTGGTTTTCCTTTTCTTCTTAGGTGAAAGATCACTTAGGGGTTCTTTTCAAAGATTTACTGGACTACAAAGTTCATTAACTCTGCTTCAAGAGTCAGGAAGACTTCCTGGGGGTGCAGTCTCCATTCCTCATTGAGATTAAGTGATCACTTTTCTCCCACTTGCTCTTCTGATGGCTTTGTTAGCCTGGCATGCAAATGTGGTTTTCATTGCCTTTGGTCAACAGAACGACATTCCTTTGTCTGGAAAAAAACTGGTTATCAGCTCTCCTTGACATGTCTGGTTTAAACACATTAGCCGTAATTCCAGTATATCCGTATAAACCTTTGTGGATTGACTCATACATACATCACCCAAGAATATAATGATCACTGAATTAATAGTCTTCCAATGACCTATTACATGGCACCTTTTAGAGACAGATATAACAACAGGGAGTTGGGGTACACAGAGCTGGTCAGGCCAACAGAAACTCTCTGCTAGATACCAGGGAGCCCCTGGCCTAGGGATGCTCTCAGAATCACAAACTCCCTGCCACTAGCAGCCTCCCTTTGCAGAATAATTTGCAGTATTGTTGCTATAGTGCTCAATTGTGCCGTTTGAGTAAAGACTACAAGATCAGATTAAATAGTAAATCCTTAGTCTTCTTTCTAAAGTTCAAAGGGTTGCTTCCATTCTCATTGACTATGGGAGGAGCAGGATCAGACTGATAGGGCTTTTTCCTAATGCACCAAGTAAGGGCCAAATCCTGCTTTCCTGGCTCTCCGAAGTACTTCCACTGAAGTCATTGGGACTGAAAACTGCAGGGCAATGAGCCATCTACAAAGAGGCCCTTACCGACTGACCCCCTCAGTCAGTACATGAATAGCCAGCTCTATTAGTTGCGAGAACTGTGATGGGGCTTATTAGGCAAACATGGGAAATGGCTGAACACACTAATCCTGGCCATCAGTTTCATTCTTTCTTTTCTGGTTTTGTTAAAAGCAATTGCTTAATCATAATGTTTAAGGCCATTAATCAAAACCAGAGTTTGTATGAACACCCTGCTAAATTACAGCCAAGCTTGGTGCTACTAAAAGCTCACCAGTGGCAGGCAAATGGCTCTAATGTGAAGTGAGTCATTTAAAAGGTACGTATCCCTTTAATATCCTGAGTTAGTCATTCCTAAAGATAGGAGGGCAGGTAGTACTATCACATTCATTAACAGGAGTCTTAATACTGTTACTGAAGTACAGGTAATTACAGGAGATGTTTCTGGAGTAGAAATAACTGCGCACTGCATCTCTCACATACAAATATTTTACTTTGCATTAACACTATGAACCTACTTCTGTTGTCTGATGCTTAATCAAATTCAATATATACTTTGAAGGAGACAGATGAGTTTAATTTAGTATCAACTTTTCTCTCTTCCCACTATAGAAATAAAATGAAGCAGAAGAGAAAAATCAAAATAAAGGTGAGATACAAAAGCAGTTAAAGCACTGTGGTTTGTGTATTACACTGCACCATTATATGAGAGTATTAAGGATGCAGTTAATGCAGGTATGTCATTTAAAAAATGTTGAAGTAGGCAAAATACACCCAATAGGTCCAATTTTCCAAATGCAGATACTTTAATAGGACAATAAGATCTTGTAATAGGATGCTCAGACTGGCACTTAAGTGCATACAATGGGAATAGCTATGCTTACCTATTGATCTGATGCAGGATTCAAGTGTCCTAGTAACATGTGCACAGTGAAAACAAAGCCCCCATGCTCATATGTCACAGAGAAGACAGAGGCTAGAGCTGAGGAAATAACTCATAACCAAGGACTTATTCCAGAAACCTAGCGTCCTTTTCTGTTGCACATTGTCTGGGAGCCATTAACGACTTTCTCCCGTTTGTCCTTTATTCAAACTCGGTCACAATGACAAAATAATTTTCTGCGCGTGAGCACTTTGTGACTACTCCGAAGGATCCGAAATGTAAGACTTGGGGTTCTTTTTGACAGGTTTCAGAGTAACAGCCGTGTTAGTCTGTATTCGCAAAAGAAAAGGAGTACTTGTGGCACCTTAGAGACTAACCAATTTATTTGAGCATGAGCTTTCGTGAGCTACAGCTCACTTCATCGGATGCATACCGTGGAAACTGCAGCAGACTTTATATACACACAGAGAATATGAAACAATACCTCCTCCCACCCCACTGTCCTGCTGGTAATAGCTTATCTAAAGTGATCATCAAGTTGGGCCATTTCCAGCACAAATCCAGGTTTTTTCACCCTCCGCCCCCCCACACACAAATTCACTCTCCTGCTGGTGATAGCCCATCCAAAGTGACAACTCTTTACACAATGTACATGATAATCAAGTTGGGCCATTTCCTGCACAAATCCAGGTTCCCTCACCCCCCTCCCAAAAACCACACACACAAACTCACTATCCTGCTGGTAACAGCTCATCCAAAGTGACCACTCTCCCTACAATGTGCATGATAATCAAGAAAAAAGAAAAGGAGTACTTGTGGCACCTTAGAGACTAACCAACTTATTTGAGCATGAGCTTTCGTGAGCTACAGCTCACTTCATCGGTAGCTCAGGAAAGCTCATGCTCAAATAAATTGGTTAGTCTCTAAGGTGCCACAAGTACTCCGGTTCTTTTTGAGTGACTGCATAGGTCACGTGGCTTTGTTTCGGTTCCCCCCCCGGTAGCCCAGAACGCCTAGGAAAAGAGGGCTGGGGGTAAGTGCGTGTGAAGAGGCTGGGCGCGTGGCGGCCGGGGGCAGCTGTGCGCGCACCACCCCGCCGCGCGCGCCACTTTCCCGGACTTCTCGCTACTTCCTGCCCTGCCAGGCACAGCAGCGGGGGGGGAGAGACCGACCGGCTCCTGCTGTAGGAGGCGCCGCCCACACCCCGGGCCGCCAGCGCCCCCCGCGGCTCCCTTGCACAGAGGGGCGGGCCCGACGGCGCCCGGCGCCCTCCCCCGGCCCGCAGTTGGTCCGCTCGCGGAGCCAATAGGCCGTCGCGCCTTGGCGGGGGGCTCGGGGGCAGAGACCAGCGCGGAGCTTGCGCCGCGGCAGCGCGGGGCGCCGCATGCGGCAGTGTCAGTGACCGCGCGGAGAGCGCCGCGCCGGCCAGCCCAGCCCAGCCCAGCCCAGCCTCCCTCCGCTGCCAAGTTCGGTCTCCCCGCGGGTCCCAGGGCGGCTGCCGCTGCCTCCCTGCCTCCCTCCCTCCCCGCCCGCCCCGCTGCCCGGAGCCGGCGGCTCGTTTCCTCTTTCGCTCCTCGCTCGCCCCGCTGCCCGTCGCCTTTCTCTCTTCGCAGCCCGAAGCGGAGCCGCCGCTCCCGGGACCGCGGCCGCCGCCGAGCCGCAGCGAGCGCTTCACTTCGCGCGGGTCCGGCCTGGGAGCGTCCCACCCCGGCAGCCGGAGCGCGGCGAGCCCAGCCCAGCCCCAGGACCCGGTAAGGGCGGTGAGCGGCGCCTGTGCCCCCTTGGCGCGCTGCTGGGGGGACCCCCCTTCGGTTTGATGCGTTGTTTTCTCTTCTCCCCCTGTGAGCCACCCCCTCTACCCCCACGTTACCCTTCCCCCGGCGGGTTGGGGGGTGAGGTAATGGGCTCCTCTCCTAGCCTTGGGAATAGGGGAAATGTAACCAGGCGGCAGGCAGGCAGGGTTCTGCAGCAACTGAGCTCCCCTTTCATACGGCCGGCGATTTTCAAATAAGTTCGGGTTTAAAACCCGCAGCTCGATGCAGTCGGTGCCAGCTGTCAGTGGGGTGCGTGCGTGCATCTTTTGATCGTGTTCCCCCACCGGGGAAGCCGATACAAGGTGGGGTGGGTGGGGACGATGGGTCTTTAGAGATCGTCCCAGACCTTTCTCATTTCCTCCAGGGTTCCAGGCAGCAGAGTTTTTAGTCTCTCCTTCTCCTTTGGTCTGTGACCTTAGCAGTTAGGGAGACCCGCCTTTCCAATAGCTTCCTAACAATGTTGTGGTATTTTGTTAAGTCTAGTAGATCATGATTCGTGGTGAGTTCAACAAAATGTATCAATCTTTCCTTCTGGAACCCTTCCTTATTAACTACGACGGTCTTCTCCTCTCCAGCCGTGTTTGTATGGTGCAGATTTACTATTTAATTCCTTGGATTTCACAGTTAACCCACTACTCTGATTGTGGGGGTGTGAAATGAGATGTGCTGCTTTTTTCTCTGCCTGACTACAGGTATGCACGTGTGTGTATGTGTGTATATATATATATATTTGTGTATGTGTCTGGGTATGTGGGTGTGCATGTGGATTGTCTAATTTAGCAGAAAAATATGATGATTAAAGTTAAGCAGAGACCCCAGGGCTCACAGTAATGGTGGTTAATCTTTTACCAGTCAGACTTATAAATGCATAAGCATTACACTGTGATTAAACAAACTATTTAAAAACGGAACTTCCTACTCGCCATACTCTAGAGAATGTCCTTCCAGAAAATCTTTGTGTTCTTTACTGGTGTCTTCAAGAGATCGCTCAGAAAAACAAAAGCCAGGCTGGCTGGTGAGAGAGACCCTAGATCTGAACAGTTACCTATTTACACTTTAGTGGGTTCTTTGCTGAAAAGGGTTTTGTCGATTTTAAATTAGCATTAGAGTTGTCATTTGCTTAATGATCTGTAGAAAGAGAGTGAGTATTTGAGGTTATTATGAAATGTTGAGATTTACAAGAAATTATATGTAAAATGGCACACTTACATTTTTACCAATGAATTTCCGTACAAATAACCCTTTCCTGAGTGAAAGTTATGTAATGCAGTGTTGTCTGAAATGGAACCTTTTTGTCTTCAAATACTGTATATGCTCATTGTGCTGTTTAGTCACCACTAGATGTTTGGTTTTTTTTTAAAAAATGGGGACTTTGTCACATCCAGGAATGTTTACAAGTAAACTTTGTCATGAGATCATAAGTATAATGTACCTAGCTGCAAAAAGAAACTCTATGACTATATTTCTTATAATAGGGAGAGAAGGGGATGGAGACTGAGAATGTGCACACTTGTTTTCCTCCTCTTAATATTAAGGGTATTTTCCAGTGGCTCTGAGCCATTCCTTGTAATTCTGCCTCAAAACCTCCTATTGCTAAAATGCAGCTCCAGCAAGACCATGGAGAGTTTCAGTAAACTGTTATGATAAAGCTGTCTTGCATACTCATGCCAACACTGCTTTGGTGCTTCCTGTTGTCATTGGCAAGTAAAGCTGTGGGAACAATTAATCTGCTATGACTTTGAAATGCCCTGCCCACTCTCCTTTGGGAACAGCTTTGACCATCTGATGCTGAGTAGAACCACAAGCACATTGCTGTGACTTCTGAATGTTCTCTTTCTTACAATAGGCTCCTTGGTGCATGTGAACAACTGAATGTTAGATATCCTCTAATTCAGGAGTTCTCAAACTTTGGGTCAGGATCCCGAAGTGGGTCGTAAGCCCTTTCTAATGGGGTTACCAGAGGTGGCGTTAGACTTGCTGGGGCCTGGGGCTGAAGGCAAAGCCCAAACCTCATCACCTTGGGGCGAAAGCCCGAGCCTCACCACCTGAGGCCAAAGTCAAAGCTGGAGGGCTTCAGCCTGGGTAGCCCGGCTCAGGTTGTAGGCCCCCCACCTGGGTCTGAAGGCCTTCGACTTTGGCTCCTGCGCCCTGGGTTCCCCCCCCCCCCCCCAAGCTGGTGGGGCTTGGGTGGACTCAAACTTTGGTCCCCCCTCCTCAGGTCATATAGTAAACTTTTTTTTGTTAGAAAGGGGTTGCAGTGCAATGAAGTTTGAGAACTCCTGCTCTAATCTAGTGCAACATGTGGAAACTTCTGATCATCCAAGCAGCTCTTTCCTTGTGGTAGACTGCAGGGTACCATTGTTCTGAATTAATAATACAGATTACTTTGTGGTCCAAATTATGTTAAAGTTGGGGTATGACAGTTTCGGTTTTTGTTTGTTTGTTTGTTTGTTTTTGCAGGGGGGACACATGGGCCACTGGCTAGAAATGGTAACAGTTCTAAAAAACTGACAATGCATCCATTGTTTGGATTTGAGTGGGGCAGAAATGCTAGTAATTCAAGCAGATTGTTATCCTGCTTAGCTTTCTGGGTTGTAGATTTTTCTTAATGTTATAGCGATGAGAGGCTGTATTTCTAATGCGTCAATGTATGTGTGCATGCGTGCAGAATGTGCTGATGTTGGGGATGTTGCCTTTCTAAGTATCTGTTGATCATTTCTTAAAACCTGACTTTAGGTCAGATTCAACAACTAAAACAGTCTGTCTTCCACTGATTGCAAGAGTAGCCAATGTTTTTAAATCTGTATTCAGCCCTCGGTTTCTAGTATTAAACAAAATGTTTTGATTTAGGATCAGTTTCTCTTGACTGCAGTCTATATCAGAAAATATATACTGAAGTTGGGCTGCATAGAGAAGAAACAGAGCTTAACTCATGTTAATTTCTGTTGGCAAGAGGTAATTTTAACTTATCTCCAGTCATGTTGACTGTATTAATGAAGTAACATGCCGCATTGGGTGTCTATGCAATAGGTTCTGTCACTGTAGGATTTCAGTTTGCAGAGCTGTTAGTTTTAACCTTAATGAGCGTAAAATGTCTGAAATTCCAATTGCTACAATAATGTGCTGCCATTCTGAAGTTGAACAAATGTATAAGCGTATTTTATCTTCACTTTGCCAGTCTGTTGCTGAACAAAAGCTTTCACAAGCTTGTGGTCGTGTGATAGCGCTATAAACCAACACATTGTCTCCCAGCCAATATGTCTTCTGCCTGTTGTCGTCTTCTGCTTCACAGTATAATAGCAAAGTATCTGTATATTCGTAAACAAAATATTGAAGTCAAGTATCTGCCTGCCTCCTGAATTTACAGCTGAAAGAATAAATGCTGAAATGATTCTTCTGGAAATCTTGTGTGTCTCTGGAAGTTCAGTATTCCATTACTTTTTAACCAGGAGATTTTGTTGGTTCAAATATACAATAAAAGTATGTGCTTGAGTACTTCAGTGATGCTATAAGGTACAAGTTTGAGGCTGAATTGATTTTAACAATCTGAAATGTGCTGTAATTCCCCTGGAGTGCACTGGCTGAGGTATGCCATTGCTATTAAAAAGTGTTGTTTATAACTCATAAGGTGACTAGTAAGACCTATGTGTTGTTTTTTTTTTAAAGCATCTGAATTACAAACATGGAAGAAACCACAAATGCTACTCTCTCTCTCCCCCCATCCCCCCCAATATACACAGCTCTTCCTTGTCCTTTTTGTGTCTGATCCTTTCATGATCAAGCAGGAACCAAGTAGTTCAAGTAATTCTTATTACTAGTTCACATTAGACAAAGTGTGCTTCACTCTGAATCAGACACATTTTTGGATGATCAAACTTCCTGAGAGAGGCAGTCTACTTGAAAACTAGTCAACACAGAAACATGAAGTAAGGGCTTGGGTACACTTGTGAGTTACAGCGCAATAAAGGAGCCCCGGGCACACCAGCTCACTACCTGCCCACACTGGCAAGTCATGTAGAGCGGTCTGACTCTATGGCTACAGCGCTGCTGGTACTCCACCTCAGCGAGTGGAATAACGTTTGCTGCGCTCCTCCTGGAGTGCCAGTGTGAACGAGGTGTTGCTTTACTGCACTCTGATCAGCCTTCAGAAATGTCCCATAATCCGCTTAAGTCAAGTGGCCACTCTTGTCATTGCTGTGAAATTGGCTGCAGGAATGCGGAAATGCCCTTTCAAAGCTCCATGTTGGGGAAGCGGGCTGTTGATCAGCTCCTAGAAAAAGCAAACATTTACTGTTTGCTTTGAGTGAGTGAGAGAGAGGTGGGGGGAGAGGGGTCTGAACTTGCAAGACAGCATGCTGACACAGTCTTAGCACCCCAAAAACCCACTCTTCCCCCCCCCATACACACAACACTCTCCCTGTCACACTCCACCCCACCCCAATTTGAAAAGAACGTTGCAGTCACTTGCATGCTGGGATAGGTGCCCATAATGCAGCGCTCCCAGTGCTGCTGCAAATGTGGTCATGCCAGTGCGCTGTCAGCTGTCAATGTGGACAGACTGCAGTGCTTTCCCTACTGCGCTCTGCGAAGGCTGGTTTCACTCACAGCGCTCTACATCTGCAAGTGTAGCCATGCCCTTAATGTAGCCTGAGCTACTACACTTGCCTTTAAGGCCCTCTGCAGGTTTTACAAAAGCATTTTTTAAAAAGAGGGTTTTCTTGCCCCTGTTGGAGCATATTCGTACAGACAGCAGAGCAAATTGACTGACTGCCCTGGTGTAGTCACGTAACTGAATGGGCATGCAGTAAACAAACCAGGAAAAAATAGTTTTCTCTAATATTTCAGTGATAGTAATATGGACATCTTCAGAAAGAAGACTTTAAAATTGATGGTGTCCCTTTTAAGTATCCCGTAATGTTGTTAGAAAACATTTAGAT